TWKGCAGAGCACCGTTGTCCTCTACATAAATTTTGAGTGTGTATTAGCTGGCATTATAGTGAGTCGTTGTCGTAATCTTGATACGTGCTTGATTAGAACAAAGCTTGAGATTACTAAATATAAAATTAAAACTTACACGTCGCTCTGAGTGGTGTAGATGCCATACGAAAGAGCCTCATAAGCTGTCCACTTCGCAGGTATCCGCCCCTAGTGTGAAGAAGACACAGGAATTTGATTTCACTTAAACTAAGAATACCCGTTTGAGAAATCAGGTCTTTCTAGCTCAATGTCCCGCACTAAGGCCAATGTGCGAGCTGATAGGACGCACTCATACACTCGTTCGTACTGTCATCGCACTAGAATCAACCGATTGGATTTTTATCGATTACCCCTGCTCTCATCGTGTAAATGTCACTCCCTTGCACATCTCTGGCCATTCCAAAATCTGTGATTTTGCAAACATTACCATTTGCAACCAGAACATTGCGGGCAGCTAAATCACGATGAACAACCTAAAGAATGAAACAAAAATGTATTTTGTTGTCAAATATTGCATCATTTGACCCCTCTTCCAAGCACTGTTAGACGCTGGTATTTAAGATTAAGGAATTTTTTTGTTGACTGAAAAACTCGGTTCTGGTTCAAAATTAACCAGCTCTGTTTCTACCCAGCTGACCAGATGTCACTCCTTCTACTTTACTGATCCTTACAATGTGCACCAGAGAGGGGAGGCAGCGAATTCAAATGGTAAGAGCATCACGCTCAAGGGTCTCTGGCTCGAATCCTTTTCTGAATACCAAATGGATTTGTTTCTTGATAGTCCAGGGTTCAGCTCCTCGATCAAGATTGTTTACAACCAACTGATCTGCCATTTTAGGTTTTTTTTATTATTTTTTGTTTCATTAATGTGGGCCATGGGTTCAAAATTGTGTCTACTACTGCCAAATGTTACCCTTTATAAATAGGGCCTATTATTATCATCGTCATCACAGGATGCTTACAATCACTGAGCCAAGTATATGACTCTGATCGACTTGGAGTTCTCTGTGCAAAAAGTAATGAAGCATCTTACCAAATATAAAGGCTCATTTTTCATCCTCAGTGGATACTCAAAGTTATTTTTCACCTTATTTCTGCTGAGGAAGTTCATTCCGCTCGCAATTTGCCACGCAAACATCATCAGTTTCTTGGCGGTGACCCTAGTCAGTTTTCTACAGGTGTTGTAATACGTGTCAGGTAGACCTCGACTCTTGAGAAGATAGCCCAGCAAATCGCCGTGAGAGGCGAACTCCACAATCACTAAAGGATTAGCTGTTGTATAAGATGAATTTACATCAAAAGTTAAAGAAAGATGCTGAGTATCACGGAGTCATAAATCATTATAGATTTATGGAGACTTGCATCTTCCTTTCGGCCATTAAAGTAATTCATGGCGATGTAAAAGTGTTCAGTCCCTAACGTCATGCAATGGAAAAATTGCAGATAAAGAATGCTTAAAAGAATTTAACAAATCGGCAGTGGTTTAGTGTAGTCTGTAGACTCACGAAGCGCAGCCAAGTGAGTCTGCAAGACATTTTTTGCCACAATATCGACGTCAAACCATTCTTTCAGTGCCTGACACGTGTGTCACGTTGATAGGGCAGCATTGTCTGTGCTGACCCCTGTTGACAACGGCAAATTGGCCTATCAGATTGCGACATTACTGCCAATTGTGGTTAAAAAAAGAGGCATCGAAGGGTTCATCGAGCTTCGAACCCTTGCTTTCCAAATACCAGGTTTTAAAAGTCTTTACGTTCCCAGTGCATGTAGTTCTCGGGTAAAAAAAAAAAGGAACTGTTTTGCAAGCTTCTAGCCTGGCTGTTCCGTTGTAAGAACAAAGGTTACACGGCTATACATATATGTGTATTTATACCAGATGTGGTGACGCAGCCAAGAAGCCTCACAACATGTCTATGGTATGGGAGTTTCTTCATGATCGATAGCTCTGACAGAAGGTCTTGTCTGTCAGACTCCCAAGCATCCTCTAAAGATAGATAGAGACTAAGATTTGTTATTCATGTGCATTCACACCAGCAAAGCGCTGATAGATACACGGTTTGATGGTTCTCTATCCCTTAAACATCCTGTTCAGACGGGGAGGGGAAAGAAGGGCAAGGATAGTCACCTGCCCAGACTTTTCACGGCAGTTATAGTAACACGGTAGGAACTGTGTACGACTTAGGGTAACTTCTCCTAACTTATGACGTCAAGAATGCTTCAAGACTAAACTCCCAAATCTAGACTTTTCGTAAATTTTGAGTGGCAACATTATCAAATATTTCCGTTATTTTGTCATATCTTTGTGAAGTCCGTATGGCAATCGATCTAGAAACTCACAGTATCTGAGTTTTACTGGGTTAGGTCGGCCTGTATGAGTAAGTATCCGACTTTTGATCATGATTTATGGACTCCTCCGTCCCTCCCACTCAGACAATAAGTACACAATATCTCCAAGGAAATGCTAGCGTTATGAACTCGCCAACCTTTTAGCATCTTCACTGCCACTACTGTCCAATTAGCATTCCCAGCAATCTGAAAAGCCAGTCCCTTAGCTACTTGTCCAAATGCTCCTTGGCCAAACACTTCACGAATTTGGAGTCTTGCTTTTGGGAACTCCCACTGGATCGAACGGGGGGCCCGCGGTAACAATGTAGGGGGGCGGGTGTCAACTTGCTCCTCTTGTTCAGCTCTTGCATCCTAATTTTCAAAATATTTAAGTTAGCAAAAAGGGAAACAACTGAGAAGTCTTTTAGACGCTTCTTCTGGTCTATACAGAATTCATCTTTTGTTTCTACAGCAGAACCTGCGTTAAGCGGTCACCCGCGGTGGTACGTTGGCCGCTTGATACCGGTTCCTGAGGCAAGGTGTATTAAACGACAAACAACGGCACTTTATGCAATAATTGACCACTTACTTTACAGAATCTCGCTCGAAAATACTACTTACTTTGATTTTAGGAGAGAAACCTGGATTAAAAGTTACTGGAAAGGTTTTGAGTAGTCCAGCTTTAAGTGACCGTTCAATACAGGTGGAGGACAATAAAAAAAACACACAAATCAGGCCGTTAGGACTTAGCAAAGGGCAACCCGGACTGCCTAATTGAAGTGCAAATTACACTGACTAAGGGGGGGATAAATTCGGGTTTTTGCCGAATGACCGCTGATTAGAGGGTGACCGTTGAATACAGGTTTGACCGTATCTACATTTTTCTCTTCTTCTTAGGATTTTTTTTTAATGATCTGGTACACTGCGTCGTGCATTCAAATTTAACAATTTTCCCTTATGTCTAACTAACGGTACATTGACCCAAGAAAACATCATAATCTCGTGCTTAATATTACAAACTGTACTTACGACTTCCTACCTCAACTTGCCCCTGCGTGTGCATCAGCCTGGGCACATCCGCCAAATCGAATTCCGTATGCCTGAAAATAACGCAGTGGTGACGTTGACAACTTGACATATTCAATCAATATTAAAAAAACCAAAGAAACATCGATCGTTTGATCAAAGTTATGGCAGATCTACAAGGTTATCATTTGGCTATTTTTGACCAGCAGTATATGATAAATAATAAGCAGTAGCGGTAACTAGTCTGTAATAATTATCCTCAAAGAAAGCCGTGTATACAGGTTATTCGTCTGAAAAGGTGGCAAGATTAAGGATGAGAATATGGGTTCTCCACTTTAGCGTAGAAGCTCTGTAGATCTCAGCCAGCAAAATCTCAGCTTTTCTGAGCAAACACTCTGACTGAATAAATCAAAGAGAAGTGTCTACAAGCCATTCAGTTAAAAATGATTGGAAAGTAATATAAAAGGTTTGCATAGTCAAATCCCCAAAATGTAACAGTAACCTGTTGCAAATACTGGGGTTGCCAGCGTTTCTAACTAGTACACCCTTACTAAGTATATGAAGTACAAATGTAAAATTACACGTTACGTTCTACCTCTGACCTGTCGTGACTGACTTAAAGTCTTTATCAAATACTGTGGCACTCTTGAACAATCTTACCTCTGGTTAACTCCTCGATCTGAAATAATCATTGCACCAACAACAGTCAACCGAAATAAAGGAAGGAAAGAGGAAGAAAAAGACCATAAGAAGAGAAACAGTTATTGATTTTCACAAACAAAGATATCCATTAAGTGTCCAATCAACCGTATTAGATCTCAAAACTACAGCTCTTTATAAAGCTTTACTCTGTCCCCCCTCCCCCTCCCCCAAAAAAAGAAAAACAGAGACAAAGACTGATACTACTTAGATAAAGTGCCACATTTTGCCTGAAAGCCAGCCCTCTTGGAAATTATGATGAAACAGAATTAAAGTTCTGTATAGTGACAAAAATATTAGACGATTGCTAACAAAAGAAATAGCTGCAACTGAAACTTGAAACTAAAAATAAGATCTTGCTGGCATCATACTTGCTCTTATTATATCGTTATCACAACCCTGATTCAGGTAATGATGGAAATAAAAAGCAAATTTCAAGAAATACCAGAATTAAAGTAAATTTACCTTTTTCATATCCTCTTTTCTTTATTTTCCTGCAGAGCCCAACAATGATTACTGAAAGGGCGGCAATTGCAATTGTGGAGGAAATCGCAACAATCATTAGGATGGCAAAATGGTCTTTCTTTTTGGAACGAGGAAGATCACCTTCGTCTGACCGCTTTGGACTCACTGTCTTAACTAAAATGAAAGAGATAAGATAAAATTGAGATCTTCAGCTTGCTACGCTTCTGTGGTCTGATTCACGTTTCACGTGATCTGATCACTTGTCCTCCAGGGAGGACATGTGACTTTCTCTGACAATACTTGCCACCGGTTTCATAGTTGTCAATTGGAAAAGTTCAACATGACCTTTTTACTGCAAACGGCAAACTTGCTATTTTTTTTATAAAAGGTTTATTTGTCCAACCTTCGGTCGAAAAATGGGCGACATCAGTCTTATCTTCATCCAGAGTTGAAGTAGTTCTTGTGCTTGTCGACAGCATAATAGCTAGAAGAAAAAAAAAGCAAAAAGGAATAAACCTGACAACCAAAAAGTGAACAAAAACGCAGGAAAAGTAACATCCTGTATAGCACCATTTTGCCGCGGTTGTTGAGAAGAGTTTTATATGATATAAAGTTTGGCAAAGTTATCCCATAATTCTTGATATTAAAATGGATAAGCAAAAATTATAATTTTTTTCTTGGGCCAAAAATATCATATTTTGATATGGGAATACCAATTCAATGGATGGGTGTCACTGTTCTTGCTAAAAACTCCTTTGATCACAGATATATACAGAGGATTTCGCTGTATCAAAAAATATAAATGTCAACACCTTTTATTTCTCAAAATATATGATATTTTACTCACTCATACCTTTGCTTTTAGACTGCGTATCAGATTGAGTAAGTGAGGGTTTGAAAGTTGACCTAGCTAAACATTAAGAGAAAATATAAACCTATTAGGTAAACCTCTTACCAGCCGACAAAAATACCTCGATCTTTTCAACAATAATCAAGTTACAAGTAATTTCAATAGGGAATTATTTTGCAAATAACAATAGTTATAATAATGTATTAACTAGTATTAATAAATATAAGCAGAATAACATGTACCAGAAACCATATAATCATAATCTCCGGAATTAAACGTATGTAATATAAATTTACTGCGCAAAACCGTTTCAGAATCGAAAGATTAACCAAACATGTCCAAACATTTTCTTCAAACTCGCCCGCTTATTTATATTATGTTTTCTATTCCTTAAATGGCCATATACGGTCATTTTTTAGATCTATCGTTATCGCACTTGATCCGCTTTTAGAGCCTGGACGCCGCCATTTTAAATTTTGCTGAGCATCCTGTCCGCTTGCCTATGACGTAAAAGTCTTATTACTCTCTTTTCCATCTTTTTGTTAGATAGAGCGTACCTCTCCCTTATCGAGGTGTTCCTATATACTAATAATTACCTGTCAGAGTGACTAACAAATTCGAATGTTTCCGCACCACCACTCTACTTGAACCGTTTCCAATGGGAAGTAAAACCTTCCAAGAAAGTTGATACCACTGGGCATCTGAGATCCTTATTTCTTCAATCACAAAGGACATCTTTCCCTGACTCACTACGCCTGTCCACTTAACTCGTCCGACGTATCGGATTGATTTCGTTAGATCAATCCAGAACGAGTCAGGGCTGTAAAACATTATTGCAATTCGCGTCCTGTTTACTACCGTATGTAACTTAAGCGACCACGTTAGCATTTCTATTGGAAGGTTCCCTCCAACACGACATGACCATTTTAGCGTGACACTGGAACCTAAGGTTGTTTCAACATTTTTTCCATCAAGTGGCTTCATGTATATTTCAGTATTGGAATCGTTGATTAACCCTGAAATTAGAATTGAAAAAAAAAAAGATTTTGAATGCTAATGCACATACAGAATCGTCGAGCAAGTGACAGCATTTACAGAAATAATCTTCAATGGATGAGGTCAGTCACACATGAATGCTCTATAACAACGCCGCTATTAAACAGAAAGCATCAAGTCGGCGAGGAGTGTTCGTTAAAATTGCACGTTCTATCTGTTTACCCATGTAATAAGACCTAATAACCCACTTGGAATGTTAGAGGAACACAAGAAAAGTTTGTAAATCACGAGCCGCATGCGAGTAATTCACAAACTATTCCAACTTTTTATTTGGTTAAACAATGGTTAAACTTTGTTTAAATTACCGACCCCTGAGTTGAGGTACTACTCCAAAATCCTTTCCTTCTGGAAATTTTAAGATTAAAATTCTCCATGGTGAAACTTAATTTCGTTTATGCTAAGGTACTTATGGAAATAAGGTAACACCTAGTCAATTTTGAGCGAGATATGACGGCTAGTTGTCAGTTGTTAAGGAGTATAATGACGTTATGGACACCCATTAGAATTCTGTTTTCAGGAAAGGACACTCCTAGGATAGTAGCAAGGATAGTAGTAAGATCAGAATCAATCTAATTTTTTAGCACAATTGGCAATAATGTCGCAATCTGATAGGTCAATTTTCCGTTATCGATGAGAGCACAGACTGCTGCTTGCGTCAACGTGTCACACAATGGTCACGCACTGAAAGAATCGTTTTATATGAGCAAAAAACAAAGATTATTTTGCCAATCAGGTGTGAAGAAGCCATCCAGTAAAGTCGATTCCGCAATCAAACGCCTGATAAGCGAAGTATACTATTTGGAAAGGATTAAACTGTTTTGATTGGGGCATCTCACAAGTATTTGATATTTGTTCAACTGTTGCTTCAGACGATTCCGCAGGATTTCCTGTTGTCACTAACGTTATGAGTTTACGATATTTCTACTCAATGTTTACTCTTACAATCTAAGTGTCACTTAAATGGACAGGAAGGAATGGTCTTTTTTTTTCCCTTCTTTTGTTTTTCTTTGTGTTTTTTTTTTTTGTTTGTTTCATTAAAAGTCCTATTGAAAGAGGGGCCCAGCTAGCATTATCACGACAAACTGATTACAAGCTCTCGCAAAGAAAAACCTACTTTCACCAAAAGTGATGAGCTCCTGCTGTCGCCGATTTCAATTTATGGGCAAGCTCTCACTCAATTTTTTCACAAACTCAATAACAAAATGCAAACGAGCAAAAAAAAAAAAAAGGTTATTTTGCCAAAGGCCATCCTGTCCATCCGATTAGACATTCAAACGCCTGATAAGCGAAGTATCGTATTCGGAAAAGAATTAAACTGTTTTGACTGGGGCATCTCACAAGTTGACAAAAGTTGAATTGCGCACACCCAGATAATCTATTCGATATTTGTTCAACTGTTGCAAAATTGAACTTTAAACGATTCCGCAGGATTTCCTGTTGTCACTAATGTTATGAGGTTATGATGTTACTGGTCGTTTTCCTCTAAATATACACCTACTGCTGAAGGAAATCGAATCTGTGATCTGAAAGAACAGGAAGTCGCTAGATAAGGGAAAGTGAAAGCAACTAGGTGTGGCATCTTGAATAATTCACAGTCGCTTGGCCATACTTGGATGAAAACAACAATATTTTGTCTGTTACTTCACGTTTTTCAGGCTTGCGAAAAACATTTCCACGAATTTTTGCCAAAGAACAAGTATTCTTAGCAATACATGCCCCCTTCTTTGACTAAAAAAAAATTTACCTTTCATTCTTTCGTTCGTACACACGGACTTTGTTTTGTCTCTCTGCTGAGAGCCTCTCTTAATTAATGACTATTTTAAATAACTTCCAAGGTACTGAGAATTCAATACAAAGGAGCCACCTTTGTGCTTGTGCAAATACTTCAGTGTATATAAGCCTATGATAGTGTTGGTACTTATTTGCGTGATTCTCAGAACCAATTTCCTGCTTTTGTCCTTTAATCCTGCTCGAGCTACTTAGAAACAAAGTCAAAAGCTAATTTTGAATGCGCTCAGTTTGTTAAAAGACAAACCAAAAGTGTGTACAGATATGTATTTTCTCCAAGGAAATTCTTCGAGAAAGATGAAGGCAAAGTGTTGCTTGATGGACCTGATCCTCCAGTGCCGTCCTTGACAAGATTTTCAGTGAGCCTCGTTATGAACAGTTAGCCATGCGCGTTTACATAACTGAGTACATTTGAGAACTAAAGCAATGAGTTGTTTTTACCTACCTGAACATTTAACGGAAGCCAGGTGCAGAAACATACAAACCAAGACATAATAGACGATGATACGAAAGACCATCTTGACCATCCTAGCTGAGACTACGTTCCTTGGTTGAGTTGTTTGAAATCAGTTTACAAGATATTTGAGGTGGCGCTAAGCTTATGTACAAATGGAAGTTCTTGTGCCCATTCCCTCGCCGCCAGTATTCCTAAAATTACCTTGAGGGCGCGTTCAAATTTTGAGGGAAACCGGGTTGCTTTAGGTTGTCATCAGAAGTATTTGGAACAAAGGAAAGAGCGTTACAGAGACGAAACAGCTCATGCGGAAATAAAACAAGTAAATTGTTGCCGAAAGAATAAGTCGTGTGAGGTAATTGAACCATAAACAAGCAGGAAATAAAGACCGCGAGTAAATTTATCCACGGGTAGCTTGGACATTGTTCAACAATTTCAAATCTTCTGATGGCGTATTCTCGAACAGCGATAGATTTAAACTCTGTCTTGGTCTCTTTGCTTTGCAATTAAAATTGTCTCTCGTTTATAGCGATCAAGAAGTATGGAATATATCACTCCTTTAATCTTCCCGCTCGACGTAATTTTCATTTTCAAATGTGTAGGTGAGTTCATCTTTAGCATATGGACTAATTATAGCAAGTGACCATTTTACCTACAAAGCAAAAGCTGTATGACCCACTGTTAGGGGAAAGAAATAGCCAAGTTTATTCATCCATTCTTGGGCTTTTCAATTCTTAGAAATTCTTCAGAGTTTGGTTTAAGGAAATTGCGGTTTTGCCCAAGGGCCTAGCGTGACTTTGAAAGTAAAATCAAACTTATTTGATTCCCAGAAATACCGATATTTATAAGAATCATTTGTGTAAGTCTCGATATTGATTATCGATATCGATCATATAGTCGCACAAATTCACTTGTATTTTCGTAATTTTCCACGCTATCGCTTTCAAGAGAAATAAAAGAATCCTTTTTAGGCTGTCACAAGCGAACAATTGACCAGACTGATCTTACCAAACTTTACCCTAGTTTAGCTTACGACGTCCCTCGATGAGAATTAGACATGGGATTTCGCGAGATGAACGATTGTTACACATGCATATCCATAAAACTGTATTTTTATTTCATTTCAGTGTAAATGATTCCACTTAAATCTTCCTTAATAAAAATACTTAGTACACATATGGCAAAGCTGTCAATAGTCAGCTTTTGCCTTTTTTTAACACTGTTAGTGGTCCCGAAGTATTGGTTAATTAATTATAATTTATTATTTTCGTCTTCTACGTACAGCAACCAACCAACAAAACAAACAACACGACATTCTCTTGAATAACCAGTCGCATATCAATATTTACATCATAGCTGACAAACAACTCGAGTTGGTGAAGTTTTAGGCACCAAATTTAAAGGTAATTCCAAACAAAACATGTCTCGTATGGGCTAATACCTCGATAATCAAATCCTCTTTTTCCCGAAAAATTTCAGAAAACTCTAAATCTTTAAGATAATAGAATAAATTACAGTAGGAAAGGTGAAATAATGAAAAAAGTGAACGACATAAAATGCAAAATGATTAAAACCAATGATATATCATGAAATGTAATGAGTTGGTACCGGATAAAACACATTCCATGGTGAACAAAACTGAGGGTTATAAGACTGGACTACACTAGACTAGAATTTTAGACAATGCAATAAGTTTCCATGCTAATTCCAAACAATGCATTAAGTTTCCAAGCAGCTAAGTTTATTAGAACATGAGCTCATACCTCGTGCATGAAGACAATCAAACCCTTTCGATTGAGCAAAAATTACAGAGATGTTTAAATTTGTAAAATAATAAAGTAAATTGCACAGGCAACTGTAAGAGAATTTTAAGAAAATGAGCAACATAAAATGAAAATGGTTAATACAAATAATATGAAATAGAATAAAGTAGTACAGATAAAATAAACTCCGTGCTGTATAAAATTAGGTGTAATAAGATAAATAAATTATAGACTGTTATTTTCTACAACTGAATATATGCAAGAACAGTTTTAACGTTAACAGCTGTGATTTTAGGTGTGGTATTTTCTCAGTAAAACCTCAAAGCTAGCATTTAGCGATAAAAATTGATAAGTCATCATACAGATTTAACATAAATGAATGTTATATCTTTTTGAAAATAATCTGAAATATTAAAACTATACTAAACCGAAAATATACCTAAGCATCCAGATAAGAATCGTTATTTAGTTATCTTACAAATCTATGTTCAGCCCGCTATTTTTTTCCTTCCCAGAAAACGAAATTTTAGCTTGAAACAATTTCGGCATTTTGTAATAATCACCTGCCACCGCGAACAGTCTTAAAATCAATTGCCATTTGTGTGATCACTTGAAAGGCTATAACATGGAAATTTTCAGTAGGAAGCCTGTAAGCCGCAGAATTTCTTTCTACAAGGAGTGTTTGTTATTGTGCTATATATATGAATAATTCTAGTTAACATTTTCTCGAGGGCTCATCATCAATATAGATCTTTATAATCTAACTGTGCTTCGTAGAGTACAAATAACGCGCGAGACCAGTACAAATATCACGCCATATTTGTACTCCAGAAATATCCGCAAAATTCGCCCGCACTGAAATAACAATTTGGCGTGTTGGATGATGAATCTCTTTTACACGTTTTTTTGTGTAAAATATCGCACAACTCGTAAAAAATACTCAGCGAAACTATACACAAAAAAACGTCTAATAAGATATGTCCTTCATCAACGGGCATTTTCCAGCCATCTTTTTCTTTGTTATCTGATAGGTCCATTGATATTGTTAGGGAGTCAAAGCTATCACTTTCAAAGCTATCGAAGCTTAAACTTTCAACAAATTTGCAAAATTGATTTGATTTCTCAGGGATGGGGTACAAATTTCTTAAAAATCCAGATGACAGCCTTAATACACGCCGCCTGATTCAGAGTGCTTCCCGATTAAGCGTCGTAAAAACGAAATAATGTAACACAAATGATCGATCAAATTGAAGATAAATAACACGTGAAGCTTCGCGAGGTGGCTCAGAGTAAATACAATTTGCGACCCCAAGCGGAGGAAACGGGGAGCGACAGTTCGCGATTTGTTTGAGCTCTGCAAGTGATTGGCTGTGAAAGAGGAGCAAATTTCCTACACCAATCATGGACTCAGTTGAACCTGTATCAAGACTCGTTATAAGTCAATAAAATGTTTATAAATGCCAGACATGATAAACCTTTCTGCCTGGCAACTACGACATGTTGATTTTGTTTTTAACATCTTAACATTGATGATTTCCATAGTTTCCTCAAAGGTAAACTAACTACATTGTTAGTCATATATAACGGTACCGTAATTTCTCAGTTCTCTTAATTTCTACACTGGCATTCGTGTTCTGTCAATATTTAACATGGCAGCACCACCGAACGCATTCCAAACAGGAGTTTTGCGATCTGCGATGTCTTGCACCAGTGATAAAACATGGCCAGTTTCTATCTCAGTGGCATTAAACGTTCTCGTAGACTCTTCCATTGTATGTTGTCAGATTGACACAGTCCTGGAATAGTGGATGAATTATTCCGAATGAATCAGTTAAACAAACGAAACAAACAACAAAAAACACTCATGAAAGTCTGATTTCATCAAAAACTTCCAAAACTTTCGCTTTTTTAAATAATCCTAGCTAGATCTCTTGAAATTAAGATGCGGACTTGTACCGGCGTGAACCGGTTCTATGAGCTCGGCTGGAAATGATTAACAAAAAGGGACATGATTTTTTGTGCACATTTTACCTCCATCTCCTCGTCCAGTTGCTTTAAAGCCCTGTAAAGTTGTCCAAACGTCAATCGCTTTTCAGGATCTTCATTCCAACAAGAGAGCATTAGGTCATATCTGAAATAGAAACAACCCAGCATAAAGAGGCAAATCATTTCACTCGTTTATCTAAGTTCACTTACAGAGATTTGGGGGAGTTTGACTCACACTTTTTCGTCTAAATGCTGCGGCTTTTCTATTCTGTAGCCCCTTCGCAATTTCTCTACGAGCTCTGCTGCGTCCATGCCGGGATATGGGCGGCCACCTAACGATAATAAGAAACATTTATCACCATTATGAACTAATAAGGTTATTAATAACTAAATTTAGAGTTGGACAATGAAAGGAATGATCGATCTAAGAATGAAGAAATTGACTAAATTGAAATAGACCACCATATGCATGGACCAATAAGCGAATATGAGAATGAATGAATGAATGAATGAATGGATGAACAAATAAATGGATGGTTGGATTGATGGATGCATGGATTGACGGATGCATGGATTGACGGAAGGATGAATAGATGAATGTACGGAAGGATGGAAGAAGGAATGGAGTGATGGATGGAAGAAAGGATGGAAGAAGGAATGGAGGGATGGATGGAAGAAAGGATGGATGTATGGATGGAAGGATTGATGGATTGAGAGATGGATAGATGGATGGATGGTTGCACGGATGGATAGACGCACGGAAGTGAATCAATGAAACTTATTCAGCAAAAGATAATCTTACCAATAGTGACTATTTCAAAGACAAGCACCCCAAAGCTCCATCTAAGTATAGCAAGAGAAACAAGAGAAACAAAAGGTCACAATGACGTTAACTTTTTCTCGATTTACTCGAACACCTCGTAAAATTTAAAACTTACACGTCGCTTTTTGTTGTATATTGTCCATGTTCTAACGCCTCCAAAGCTGTCCATTTCACTGGTAGACGTCCCTTAAAAAAACAATTCAAACATACCGGTCATACTCATTCAGGTTTAAAACTCCCCTGGGACTATCTAGTGCACCCGGGAATCCATTTTGGCCGCGTTGGCATGCGTTTCGTGGAAGTGGCAGGCGTGAGGACAAGGCTCACCGCCTTCTGTAGCACATGTGCCTCATTGTGCACAGCCTCTCACTCGCACGCCTGCCACTCCGGCGCCCGTGGTTTGCAGGAGGTGAGTCTTAGCATCCAATAGAGGAAAAGGGTTACAAGGCGCATTAAAGCCCGAATTTGATTGACGTCAGAATTTTCCTAATAATATCAGCGCGCTGCCACAAACAACTGCTTAGCCCCACATATTAAACGAAGGAGAGGGTCAAATACACGGAGCTCCCCTTGCTTAGGTAGCTGCTGACCCAACAAGGTGGTGATTGACACTTCAATCCTCAGAATCACTGACGTCAAATTTCTCCCCATCAATTCAACAAAATGTCACGACTTCTTCTAAAATTTTGAGCCTCGAAATCAGCATATAAATTCTTTCCACAAGTTGTCACAAATTTGATTTCAACAGCAACTGTTAGGATTTGATGAAGGTCAAGGTAATTATTCCTAAAATGTTCATTCTTTTATTCTCTTTAACTTAACCCTTGTTTTATTAGACAAGAACGAATTATACCACCTGGTTTCAATTAATTAGAAATCACCCCCCTTGCTTATCACTTACCTCAGAGCTTTTTTGGTACATGCCCCTCTCATGAATGTTCCGTGCCATCCCAAAATCTGTAACTTTACATGTCAAATTTTCTCCCAAAAGGACATTTCTGGCTGCCAAGTCACGATGAATAATCTAACCGTAGGAAGAAGGAAAATAAATGTCATTAGGCTCAGTAGGTTATGGAATAAACTCGGTCGATAAGGCAAGTGGTCAGTGAGCAGGGAACTTGATCGAAAGGGGCTGGTGCGAGCCTCACTGGTTAATTTTGTGGCGTCCTTAAGCAAGAGAACTTCAATCTGTGCCAAAAGACTCGTGAATCAGAAGCACTTCTGAATCAAAACAGAATCTCTAAATTCAAAACAACTCTTCGAGGAAAGAATTTTTTTTCGGCGTTCGAAGTTCTTTGCCACTGACCTTTAAATCACAGATTAACACCCACCATCCAGGATTACAGCAAGTCACTAGAGAGATCTTAAGGAATCTTCACAAGTACTAGTAGTAACTAAAATGAGCCAGTTTGTTACCTTCGCTGCGCTGAGGTGCGCCATTCCGTCGGCAATCTGCCACGCAAACGTCATAAGCTGACGTGAGGTAAGTCGTATGCTGGGAAGCTGTTGAATACTATAGTAATCGTCTTTGAAGCCCCGTTTCTTCCTCAAGAAGCCCAGCAGATCTCCATAAGGCGCAAATTCTGTGATCACACAGAGAGGCTCTGGAAAAACAAACAGACATTTCACAATGGAAAATTATATCAATCTCTCGCCAAAACGGGGGAACGAGGAGAATTCCTAATCCCCCTTGAGACCCCAACAACCATCTAATCCAATTTAACCACCTGCTATACCACTGAGTTACAGAGAACTCCTTAGTGACGTAACCCATATTTTGAATTCATATTTAACATAATGTATTGTCGAAGGCCTCCTGTGTAACTTGAAGCCTTTAGTTGATCAATTTCGAGACTTGAAAACTGGGCGGCGAGCGCTTCAGGGAAAGGTTCATTAATGACTGATAGTGCTCTCACCTGATTTTGTGATGCAAGCCAGAAGTTGTACCACGTGTTTATGTGGTGAGAGTTCCTCCATGACCTTGAGTTCGGATAGCAAGTCTTTCAGATGAGATTCACTCGCATTATCTAGCAAAATGAGGTAGTAAATAAAAATCAATTGATTAAGTTCAAACAAAGATATGTACTTCTTTTATACTTCTTCAAGTTATGTATGACATGGTAGATAGTAGTAACTTTCGTTATACCATAAGGAAGTTCACTTACACAAACAGCTCTCTCTGCACAGAGCGCTTAAATATATTGTTACTCTCTCCACCGGACAGCTTACTAGTCCGTGTCAGTTTAATCCTCAGAATTTCTACAGGTTTCCCTACTGGTTAGTATCACCAAACCCTGTCGGAGCAAGGCACTGTGAAAATTAAGTGCCTCACCCAAGTATATAAAAAAAAATAAGGCGGTACGGTCTTGAATCCGGGCTTATGGATTCGATTCCAAAATGCAAAACGCTGGTGAGTGATAACCAGAAAAAGAATCTATAAAAATTACTACATGCCCTTCAATGACTCTCTCTTACCTTTCAATGTTTTTATTGCGACGACGCTCCATCCACCGTCATTGGTAACATCCAGTGCATAACCTATCTTAACAAGGCCAAACTCTCCTCGGCCAATGGTAGATTCAATCCTTAATCTGTCCCTTGAGATTTCCCAATGACGCCTCGAAGGAACCATAAATGATACATTAGGTAACTGAGACCGGTTACGTTCCTTGTCCAGTGATTCACCTCGAGAGAGATGTGAATACTCCCCAATTTCCTGTCTCTGTTTGTTTCTTGTATTTTTGGATTGTTTTGACCGGGGAGAACCGGAAGTTTCGTGCAGATGGTTATATTCTGAAAGACCTCGCGCGACATGATAGTGGTGAGTCACGGGGACACTCTCTTCAACGTTTTTCGACTCTTCTGAAGAATATCCACCATTGTAGTGAACCTCTAAAATTTCTATGCTCTCATACTGGTTTCGAACCTGCAATGGATAAAATCATTACCATTACCATCATCATCATTGTCGTCGTCGTTATCATTATCATCAAATGTTTTCGTAATTCTCCTCATTCTGTGACTCATCTTTTTCATGATGATTCTCATTACAAGGCAATGCGTTAAAAGATGTCTCTTGAGACCTAAGAACAGCCTCCAGCAACAGATCTCTCACAACTTTAATTGGTAAGCTTGACCTCTGCGAACTAAAATGTCAACCAGACTATTCTATATAGGGTCTACTTCTTAAATATTTTTAACATATTCGATCCATTTTCACTTTTGGTATAAAAACGAAGGTGAAGATTACTTATATCTAATAGGTGTAATTTTCATTAAAATAGCTTTTCGGTTGAGGTTGACGCCACGTTAAGAAACTATATAAAGGTATGTAAGCACACTTACTCATCACATTAACCTCCAGGGGGGCTCATAAGTAACTCCTTTGGTATTAAGAAAACAGTATTTACCGGTATTTCTTTCAGTTCTTCCGATGAAGATATCGTAGAGGCATTGCCCAGTTCTCTCTCTCTGTAAATTTTACGAACATTAAATAACATTATCACTGTGCTACTATTCCTGACTTCTAACTTTTCCTGGGCAGGATGTTCTTCCTCTGCAGTTAAGACCATGCAATTAAAAAGCTTACTCATTTATAACCTCAGGTGGAAAGATGCACTCTTATGTCTTGTTCAAGAACACAACGCAGTGACCTAGCCAGTATTCCAATCTAGACTCTGAAATCCGAAGCTCAGCTCGCCGGCCATTGTTGCCAGCCACTATGGGCAACTTAGTTCTCGACTTTCTCATTCGTTTCCTTTTCACTGCTGCTATGCAGACTTTGTTGCCTTAATTGTATTTCTTTTTCCGTTGTGATACGTGAACGTTGCGAATCTGATGAAAGCTCAAAGGAAAGTGGTTACACAACTAAGGCTAAAATAACTTACTTGAGGTGGTTTGTTTTTCTTTGATATCTGCACTTCCTTACTAAAAAGGAGAGAAAGAAGACAAAGGAAAATGTTATGATCATTCGTCATTTGCGAAACGTGGCTTGTATTCCCTCGAACAGATGTAACTAACCTTCTGACACAACGCAACTCAGGTCACATCTCCCCCCCTCCTCAACCCCAATATTTAATGAAAACCCTTCTACGAGCTGTAAAAGATCAGTTATAGTATAATGGGCTTCAGGATGGCCATCCTTGGTATTTCTACAATGACTTCTTAGAACAAGTAGATTTGGGAACAATTGTGACCTAATTGAACATTTCAATGTTTCGTGCATTTCAGAAATGAGTAATGGGGTGATTTACCCTCAATTAATTCCAAGGCTAATTTTGAGTCTGTGGAGTACTGAGTCTGCGGATAAATATTGAAACAGTGAGAGCATTATATAAAATCAGCAACAAGTTCAGGGCACGTGAACCCCTTGGCCACATTGAGGAAAAAGGCCATCTTTACCAATGCATTTTTTTATTGTTGTTGTTGTCATGTCAAGAAAATTGAAGCTGCAATATAAAGGTGTCTAACAGTTTGTTCAGCTATTCGTGTTTCCATATCTATACATTCTTGACTTACTCTTTTGTGTGGCTTTCCAAAGCAACAGTAGAAAACCTGCTACTATCACTGCCAGAATTGCAATCCATATCAGAAGAAGATGATCAAATTTGATTGAGTTGTCTTCCACCGCGGTGTTGTTGGTTTCCATGGTGTCTGTTCCAAAACAAAAAGTAAGGAATGGATTTAAGTCCCACTCCAATCAAAGGTGATTTTCTTTCTTTGACAATCGTGTGACAGAAAGGATTCAAAGAGAAATGAATGCGAATGCTTACCTTCTGACTCAGTTGTAGAAGTCATCGTTGAAGCACCTGTAGTGCCCGCTGGGGAGGCTGCTTCTGTATCTAAAACCGTTAAATGCCTACTATTAAAAAAGACACTGAAAAGTTCTCACAATATTAAAGTCTCTTTCTAAATAACAAGCCAAAATTATATTATTAAGCAAATACTAAAACATAATTAAAAAGTAAAGAAGAAGGCCAGATATATTGCGGCACTGTAATTAGAAAAAAAAATTACTCAGCAGAAGCAGCACAAAATGGTTATCATAAACAACACAAATTATTAGGAATGTTGCTTATTGGCCACATAATTAAATAAACTTTGAGGTTTTTCTTTTAAAGTAAAACAGGACACTTACCCTGTGTGCGAATGGTAGTAAAGGTATTGGCAGTGCTCGGTATAGTAGTTGTGGTTGTTACTAAGTAGAGAGTAAATGTTAATAATTGAACTCCGCATAAGATCACTCCCAGGACGTTACTCTTAAGGTGGCAATGAGGACGCTACTATTTGAGCAGCAGGGTATTGCAATATCTCCAAACACCAAAAAATATAATAAAAACATCCACTCTAAAGTACAACGTCATTATATTATTTGTAATTACGTTTAGAGTGAGTGTAAGATTTCGTCTGAGTTCCACATTTATGAGAAGACTGATGAAAATTGCTTTAAGTTTTGTTGAGTTTAGATGCTTTAAAAATTTTTTTGAGAACTATGTCGGTTCAGAAATTCTCAAAACCCACAGATAAAAAGATTCGATTTTTAAACCACCTTCACAATTCTATGGTCAGTTGCTGTGCTTTAGTGAATTTTTCTAAGAGTTTAAGAGATGAGATTATTGGAGGCTTCTCGCAACAATTTACAGCTTGTCTGCTTTTGACGCAGATTATGTTCTAAATTTAAAAGCAGGCGTTACCTTGCGGATTTCTTCCGATCTGACAAAGTTCCCTTGACGAAGAGGAACCTTCACCGTATTTGTTCCATGCTGACACTGCAACTGTATAATTTTGATTCCATTCAAGATTGAGCTTTGCAGAAAATGTCTCTGTGGTGTTAAAGGTTTTGAATATTTTCAAGGAAAGTGAATCATCTGAAGAAAAGTTGATTTTCCAGACATATAAAGTATACATCGTGATCGGGCTTTTTCCATCGTATGGCTCCAGCCATTGCAATGAGCAGTTATTTCCATTGACGGTAGGGCTCGATATTGAAGGTGAATCAGGAGGTCCTAAGAGAGAGAAGGAGAGAAAAATTCGAAACAGTATTTGTGTAAGGTATTTTAAGGATAAAAAGGCCAATTCATATATGAAGACTCTTTGATAATTTATTTGCACTTTGCAATTAGAATCAACGGTGCTAGTGGAAACTTTGCGGAGAAAGGGTTGGAGAGACTAAGCCATAGTGTTACTCCATTGCAGAACAAACTGTTAACCTTCATCCACAGTTCTTCTCAAAGGTATATTAAAACAAGAGTGATTCGCATAACAGGTGGTCAAAAATCTTGACAGAAATATGATCTAAATAAATGACTCTTCCTTGAACGTTTAGCCGCAATTTCTCTTTGTAAAAGCCCAAAGCGTAGGTAAAAAAAGAGTTGAAAATGCTTTATCACCTGACAACTGTATTATAGATTTTAGGCAACTTAATGTATACCTTGAGGAAGAGTGATACCAATGAATTTAGCGGCCTCTCCGTAACCAACCTCGTTCCTTCCTTCTATCTCAATTGTATATGAGCTGTTTTTCTTCAGATTCTTAATTACCAATGACGTTGCTGGGATACTTGCATATTGCTTTATTAGTTTTTGGGTGATACCATCCAAGACTTGTATTCTGTAGTCGAATACCTCAATGCTGTTGTGTTTAATTGGGGAATACCAAGAAATGTTTAATGAGAGGACTCCTGCCCTGAGGGCCTCTATGACTGGTGGACCAGGTAGGTCTGTAATGAAAACCATTTTTAGTCCTTTTTCACAAGAGCAAGATGAGTGGTGAATCACTGTCTGTCTCACTGCTTTTGAATAACTGTCACTTACCTGTCTTCATTCTCTACTGACTGATTCTCTGCATTTGTAAGGAATAGTGTGACCAGGAACCAACCTAACCTCCTGACCCGACTTTATGGATGACTCACTGATCGACTAACGGACCGGAGGATGGACTGACTTATTGACTGACAGTCCGATTGTGTGTTCCCCTCTCTGTCTGTTTATCTGCCTGCCTGCATGCCTGACTGACTGACCAACATATTGATCTGAAAATAACTTATCAGTATTTACCTGCTACAAGCGTTGTAACAGTGATATTTTCTGACTCTCCATAACCAACGATGTTTCTTGCCTGTAACATGACTATGTATGTTCTGTTTTGGCTCAAATGTTTGAGGTCGAATGAAGTTTCTTTAATTGCGTTTTGACTCTTCACTATACTTCCATTGACATGCAGTAATGTTATCATGAAGTCCAGTATGTCACTGCCTCCATTTTCAATAGATGTGTTCCACGTGACGTTTAATTCCAACACGTTTGGTGAAATTTTATGAACCTTAGGTGGGCCAGGTGAATCTGAAATATTGCACCAGTAAAAAATGTTTCATTGAAATGGTTCAAGCCCTAATGAACTAGGTTTTACTCAGATTCCACCATGCCATTAGGTCGCTTACTAAAACCTCTCATCGGTCTCATTAAATTTTCTCATCACAGGACGAGAGGGTATAAATATCAATTCTCGTTTCAGTGAATCCGCGATGGCCCATTTAACCAAGCATCACTATTAGAGTGTTAAACAATTTTAAATCATCATACTATAAGTTATTTTCAGCACTTAAGCTTTATTTTTTACGTTACAAAAGTAGTTGTCTGTGAGATTAGTCTCGAATTTTTGGGTTTGACAAACACAACACTAGTAACTTTGTTATCTTTTTTGTATCCAGTTTTGGTTAGATTCTGAGAAGTTGAAGAGTTTGCAAGAGCTGTGTCGCCTTAGGCCCGTTTCTCTACAGTCCCGGTAAATTAACGGGCCCGACGCTATATTTTAGAATCAAAATTTAAGGAATAGATAAGCAGGTCACCTTGTTCTGGCTCCCCGACCAGTCCATTTTGATTCTCTAGCTGACAGTTCTATTGTACAATTTTCAAAACATTTTTATCCCTCTTCTTGAATGAAGACAGAACTGCGTTAGGGGCCCGATAAGTTGCCAGGACCTTCGGCAAACAGGCTCCTGAATTAAGACGATCTCAGCGCCATTGAGTTACATTTCATCCAAGTATGCTTCGAAAACCAGGATCTGGGCTTTAAGTAACCACTGCTACAGCGCATAGAATGGAAAACATTAAAAAGGAAGTTCTGTACTTACGAAGTTGTTCTACGGTAATGTGATACCAAGTAGTTCCTTTCTTGTTGGTTGCATTACACGAGTACAAACCGAAGTCACCCAAAGTTTTCGGTGTCAGCGTCAGTGTGCTACCGTCATGCGTCGAATGCACTCCTTCTAAGATCTGCCGGCCATCTTTAAACCAAGTCAAGTTCGCAACAGGATTGGCGTAGAATGCGCAATGTAGAGTTGAGTTGTGATCGAGCCATGATTTCGTAAAAGGACTTGTTGAAGCTGTTTTGTTGATGTGGGGTCTATCTGAATATTGGTAAGGAAAATAACTTTTAACGACGCCATTGAAAGGAACTATGCTGGGTTTTATTTCAAGATAATGAATACACTTAGTGAGCTCAAGGTAAGTCTAGATTAATCTTTCCCAAACAGGTATGATTGCCATCTAATTCTTGCCAGCCAGTAAAGGCTTTTCTGTTATGTAGTAATGTAAACCAGTTTTAAACAAACCTCAAATCTAAACAATGTATAAACGTTTGCTAAAGTTCACATCTTGGATATTATTTTAGTCATACTCTGGTAGAAGTGTTGAGGAAATAACTTCAGTGAAACTTGCATTCAAGCGGAACACTCCATTGAAGAAAAGGAATCCAGAAGTGTCACTCCATTGAGGGAAAAGGTAGTTGGAGCATGTTTTAATTTGTGTCCCCTGCAACTCATAGAGGTGTCCACTGAGGGAGGTGGGACCCCCAAAAGAGGCATCACAGAAATTGGGGCAACATTATAATTTGAAGCAACAGAGATCTTAATTTACTTACATCTTACAACTCGTAATTTAACGCGATGAAAATCGAATCCAGCTTGGTTTGTGGCATTGCAGGTGAAGGTGCCACCATCTTTAAGTCGTACATTGGGAATTTGTAAAACTATACTTGTGTTTCCCCGCTTTAATACTTTACCATTGTTTTGCCATGTGATAGAGAGAGGTGGGTCACCTACTGCGTCACACTCTAGGCTGACCGTGTCCCCATCTTCCACATCGACTCTCTCATTTGGCTTTGTGATAATTCTTGGTGGAACTGATGTTAAGTTAAAAAGTATTACATGTCTGATAAATCTATTAGCGGTCTATCAAAAAACTTTCAAATCGATTGGCTACACTGCTATCTATTTCATGATAGATAATGAATAAAGTGATTGGCATGGGCCTGTCTTATTGTTGAGTTTTAAACGTCCAGTAAATTTTTCACTAAAACAATAAGATTAATCTTGATTTCGATACGTGATAGTTGATCTGGCCTTTCATCAGCTATCACGTATCGAAATCGGCAGTTCATTACTTGATCATTGACAAACAGAGTTCCTGGAAATGATTCATCACTGACGCATTTAACTCACGAAATCAAAAAGCTTTTTCAGTTTTTCAAGTGATTGGCTATTATTTAGTGACATTCAATTCCTTACGAAGCAATGAATAAGACCCGTTTGAAGGGATTTCACGAACACTTTAAGAGCTCGAAGTGGGCTTTGGTTTGACCAAACGTGCTTAACCTCCATTCAAATGGGAGGTGAAAGTTCGCAAATTTTAGCTTGTGGACTGAGACAGAAGTGCTGGTTTGACGTTATTTCACTTCATTATTGATTTACTTTCGACAAACGTGGTCGAGCACTTGTAAAAAAGGGGGCAGCTCTTACATAACAGCTTGTAAGGACATATCTGCTTAATTGACATTTGGCATTTAAAAATTTTTTGGAGTTTTTTTAACATATTCAGATCCCTTGGTTTTGGCCTCAAGGAATTCAGTCAGCAAACCATTAAATTCAAAAACCAAACTGTTCAGTTAAAACTTGGGTCAATTTACTTACCCCGTACGAGGAGTTCTACCAGGTCACTCTTTAACTCAGAACCACTCCACCTATTGAACACTTTGCAGACAAAAAAATCTTTGTCTGATTTGCTCACATTTCGTAATGTAAACACTTGTAAGCTTTCATTTTTATTGAAATTTCCACTCCAATGAAGCCTGGATGTAATAGACGAGGAAACTTGTTTCGTGTTCACCTCCCATTTTCTTGGTGGCGTTACTGTTATGAATTTGTTCCGAAAGAAACCGTAATTATACGCATTCCCCCAAACGACAGAAATAGAGGCATTCAAGTCACCCACGTCACCAAAGGTAAACTCCCAACGGAAAATGGCGTCAGACCCCAAACTTGCCAATAATTGGGATGGAGGTTTCTTCGTAAACGACACTATAAAATCATAAATAATTAGAGACAGTCACAACAGCTGTATAACCGCCAATTTTCAAGTTGTCTTGGGTTAAGATAACACTTTTTACTTAACCATTTTTCTCGGCACGAGCGGATGAAGTAATGGACAATCTTCTCAAGTGCCACTCTGCTCTGCCACTCTGGAAACTTAACAATGGTTCAAGAATTCACTAATGCCACCGATCCGTAGAAAGACTTGTTTGTTGTTAACACCCGTTTGTAACGAAAGAAGGATTAAGAAATGGGGCTGAGCTCATGAAATTCTACCAATAGTCGGCTTAAGAAATGGGGCTGAGGATAAAAGTAATGCTCCTCTGTCTATCACTATTATCCATTTTGATGTGAAATTCTGAAGCTACCTGTGGCTATCGTTTCGCCTGATCTAGATTTTTAACGAGTTCCTTTTATTGCTTCATATAACGTATTTTCTTGCTTTCTTTTCTTTTCCTTGTTTTTGGTTTTTGTCTCTTTGCTTGGCAACCATAATCTTGGTTCTATTTCTACTCTATTTGTCCCCAACAGCTTTATGTTTAAAAAGGGATTGACATTTTCATCTTGCTTCTATGTCGCAGCTAGCCCATGACTACTCAAAATTGTAAGTTTCTTATCTATTTAAAAAATGAAATTTCAGGTAAACTTACGACCAGTGCTGCATGATAAGTGAAGACTGAGGCAGAAGGCCAAAACAAGGATAAGTTGAACGAGCGAAGACATCATTCCTTTAGTGTCTCGTAGTAACTCAAACCATTCCAGATTGTAAATAAGAACTGAAAAACACAAAGTATTAGCGCATGAGCAGACAGTTTACACATCTGGGCTCATATTTCTAGTTTGTCGAGCCTACGTTCGATACATGTGTTAACTTGAGCTTAATATTTTGCACAATTACTTTGTTGAAATAGCCTTTCACCGCAGATGACTGGGGTCTGATTGTCAAATGCACGCAGACCATATGTAAAAATCTAATCTTCTCAGAAAAATTGTATGGCTGAGTCTTGGAAGCCGATTTTTAAAGGAAACATGGACTTGTGCTTTTGCCATAAACCCAATCATGATGCATCTTTGAATTCCATTTGGTCTTCCGTGCCAACTCTGTAAGGAACATTTCACTTAGATTTCGCTGCTATGTCATTTGAGGCCTTGGATTAAATTTGGTGAACCAAGCCTAGAGTTTGTTATAGCTTATGCACCTAGAAAAAAATACCACGGGTTCTCGATTTCCTCATTTGAAGTTCGAGGAGGTTTTTCTCCACCCTTCTCTTTCCTTGTTTCGTTTTGGCAAATCATTGCCCTCTGTGATATTGTGAAGTCTTCTGAAAATATACTTGCAAGTCGTGGAGAAAATCCCGAAAATCCGCATAACCGCAACGGTTACGACTTACATAAGCTGAAATTAACCTTTAAAGGACTGCCTCCATGGAGTCTATGGATCCACTGTAGATTCACGTTATCACCAAAGGAAACACAGTTTGATATGACTGAGAAAAGGATGCGTGATTAACCTTTAACTGCAAACTTGCCACACAATACATCTAAACACTACCACCTAGGGCTAAGACGATTAAAATGACTTTTAAGTCTGTTATTTACTGTTAGCACTTGTGTTAGCACGTTCTTTGTCAGGAAAAAAGTCAGGCAGGTTTCGACAAGCGAAAACCTGTTTCAGGAACAAGCTTTGCGTGTTACATCCGTCAAGTAATGAAATAAATACAATCAACAATGAAAAAACTTAATCAATGACTTTTGATCGAACTACTTTTATCAACAAAGCTAGTAAAACGAGGCCAGCGGTGGTTAAAGAAAAGATACTCAAAGCTTTTTTCTTTCAAAATTGGTTCTTGCGTCATTTTAAACGTACTTTTAGTTGGTTCGTGATGCAAGTATTTCATTCAACAACAAAAAAATCATGGCAACAAACTTCTCCAGTCACAAAAGCAAAAGATAATAGATGGTGAATAGATTACAATAGGCTAGCTTTCACCACCTTAGCACAAATTTAGGTTCTCAATCCGAGCATTGCTCGTAACGAAATTTCTGATTCGAAGTATCTTTTACTAAACACTTGTCTATGGGTGTCGTTTATTGAGATGCATGGATGAACAGTACCTCAATTAGTCGAAGATCAAAAACAATAGTTTTGTAAACGGCTCCCCTTGATAACTGTAAATGACTAACGAACTGTAATCTTGAGATAGTCCAAGCATAAATCTCCCTGAGTGAATAATGGAGTTTTAAAAGAATCAGGATCAACGTATATCACAATTCGCTGCACCTTCTATCAATTTCACTCTTTAAAAGCGTTTCATTTTTCTCCTTCAGCGTTTATATTTAGCATATTCAGTTATCATAACAGTTAAGAAATTAGTTTTACCTTAGTCTCAAAACTTGCAATTAATATCCCCAAACCTATTAACCAGGCATTTGTCATCTCGCTAGAGATGAGGACAGCTCACAGACGCCAGATTTTCTTTTTGGTGGTTTTTTTTAATTCAAGCCGAAAATTTTGTTGTTTTCCTGCATCTTGCCAAATTCAAACTCCACATATTTCCTCAGCTTTACTTTTAAACTACACGGAAACCATCAAATGTTCTTTGTTTTTTTTTTTTCTTTGAAATTCAGTTGAAAAATTTGTGTCCATCTTGTTGAATTCAAACTCTTATGTTGCACCCAAAACTGTTTATCCTTTTTCTAGAAAGGCTTCAAAGTACCCAACCAAATTTACGTAAAGCCATTGTAACAAAAAATACCGGTTTAATTTGGAAAAAAGGGAATTTCCCTCCTTCTCAGATATATGCTGGATGAGGGACATCTTTGTCCAGACATAAAGATTTCCCAGTCATTAGCCAAATCGTCCTTTACGGTGTTGAACAACAGATAAAAAATAACGCCTTTGACTTGCTTGGACACATCGGTGATTCACACTTAAGAACAAACGGAAGATCAAACAGACACGTATAGAAGCTTAGACGTGTTGAAATGATCATTAAACAGAAACACGAAAGGATTACTTCCAGTTGCAAGCAACAAAGCTTTGAAACGAACTCCAATATTACGCTCTTTCTTTCTCGAAGTCGTGACTATTGATTTTTATATGTCATGAATTAGGTGGCAACGAAGAAAGGAATGGACCCAAATATCCATACCTCAACGTTTTGCGAACACAATCAGAACAATAATCTCTAAATAGATTTAAAAAAGGATGTACAGATAGCCAGTTACAGGACAACGAAAAACTTCCTGCAGCAGCCTACCTTCGTGCTAAATTATTTCTTTCCGTGCTTTCTCAAAGCAACTCGACGCTCATGCCCAACTGAACCGTCAAGTCTGAAAAGATCGAACTTTGTTCAACGTCCATAGAGAATCTCAAATGGTTAATCTTATAAACGTCAAACCCTACACTTTCCCATTTAAGTTTAGTATAAACAAATGGCCCAATTGCTCAACCGACAAATTATCACGAAAGTGCCCACTCAATATATCCGAACCATTACAAGTGGCTCACGAAAAAATGAATGGGCAAGAATTATTTTTTCAAGACCACCAAGAATGGTACCCAAGTTATCTAGATAGAAAGACCAATTATGCATCGATTTCTTTATCTTATATCCTCGTTGATTTGATCAAAATGGGAGCAAAAGGATTCAAAAATGTTTGAAAGACACTCAAAGTTATTTCATTAATGAAGAACGTGCGTGTGTCACTATTTGCTGTACAAACAAAACCACGAGCTCTACTTTTTGGAGAGAACACTCGACTTGTGACCCCCCCGTTTAAACAAGAATCATTTGGATCAATACCCTTTGCCAAAACATCTCGAGCTTGAATAACCCAGCTTTTACACCAGACTTTTTATTTTCGGAATTCACTTGGGTGCGCTACCTAGCAACTTAAACATGACGTGATTAACGTGGTGTGTTAGCCTAGTATAGGATAAAAAAAATGGTAGGTGCCTAATGACAGCTTTTCATGCGTTGTGCCACACAACAGCTAATCCGTTGGATAAGCGCCATAACTAGTTATGATATGATGGCTATTTTTAAATCACAGTAATACCAGCGCGACATTTCGCTCTAACTAACAGCTCTGTTAAAATTGACCACAGGTTTTCTTTCAACATATTTTTTTCTCTCCCTGTGTAAGCGTTATCTTAAAAATTCACATCTTCTGACCAAGAACAACAGAAGGCCCAGGCGAAATTAAAGCAATAAAACATCCTGGTTAAAAAGCTATAGCTTTAGCGCGAAACTTAATTCCAAACAAGAAAGGTTCTTCTGCGGACCTCAAGGGTAACTGTTAGTTCTGCAAACAATGCTTCAGTGATACAGGAAACTTAGTTGAATTACGTACAACTGTTTCAACCCAGCTACTCTTGACCATGTGAACAAAAATCATGTGGAACGAGGAAATTGTGCCAAAGCCACGTGAGCAAAATCATGTGGCACGAGGAATTTGTGCCACAGCCCAATTGTGAAAGGTCAAAGGGCAGTGAGCACCTGCCAGTTTAACGAAACAATGTTTTATGTCAAAAGAAGATACGTGTCGTCACGCCCGGATAAACTATGAGGTGGACCACCCTTGGTGAAGCCTACGTGGCAAGGTATGTGCACTGCATAACACTAACGCGACACGATGAAGACAAACAGGGACGAACCACCACGAAGAGAAAATAGAAACGAGACAGAGGACAAAAATTGGTCTTGAGAATTCTTCAGTTACTATTTTCTTGTAAATCGTCTCATTCCCCTTAGATATTTCCATTATATAAACTGCTAGTTGCAAAACCACATTGACGAATTGAGCCCGCCTTCTGCGAAAGAGGCCTGCTGCTTACATATCTCCACCGACACTAAACAATCCTGTTTTTTTTTTTTTTTTTTGAACCTTATGCCTTTGGTGTTTCCTATTCCCAGGAGCAATAAAGCTTGAGTTGCATAAATTGATAAAAAGCAAACAAAAACAAAAAAACAATAGAGATAACTGGCTTTGAGCGAATACTGTTAACACTGCATCGGAGTAAAACCAAATTCATTATTTTCCAACCAAGGAAAGAACTAAATCCTAACCTCTACTCACTAATAACTCTAGCTGGTCATCCCTTTTAACCTTTAATACTGCAACATCAGTATGCATATTCTCCATACTGTTCTCAATAGATTTCCTATGGTGCTGACAAGGAGAATTTGTCTAACAATCAAGGGCTTCCTTTGTAGGTGATAATTTCCTTTCTTCTCGTCACCTTAATGTGCGATTCGGAGGTGATTTTGTAAGGAGAAAGTGGATACTAACCGGGTGAACGCGTTAATTTTTAAATATATTGGAGTAATTTGTGGTTGTCATTTATCATGGAATGATCAAATCGTGTACATTTGTTGTTAGATCAGTAAATATTCAAATGTAACAAAAAGTCAATAAATTCCCAGCTAAAAAATCTTTACGTAGCATTTATTACTCTTTCATGTATCCTTATTTAACTTATGGAATTATATTATGGTGTAATAATTACTTTATTTCTCTATCTGATGTTGCAGACTTCAAACTAAGTTAATAAGAATAATTGATGATGTACCTATTCGTGATATTGCACCTAATTATATTAATGAGAGTATTTTGAAATTTCCTTTTATTTTATTTATCCTTGTATTCATTCTCATCATTATTTAAATTTTGTGAATAGTATGCAGTTATATTTTTATATTTCTAGACATTGTAAATCTCATACTGCTTTTTTATTCTTATTGTTTGAATATTGTGAATCAGATAACAGAAA